GCTGCTGTAATAATTTGCTCCTTTTAATGGTTTGATAGCAGTAGCCTATATGCATATGCATTCACACATGTCGACCTCGGTTTGACTCTCTGGACATTTGTTGCATGTCATACCCCTCACTCTTCCTGTTTCCAGTCTGCCAGTAAAGGCAAAAGAAAAGAAATAAAAAAGAAAAGAGTGACGTATTGTAAATCCACACGTTTTTTTGTCATCTAGGGGGCGTTTCCAGGAAACCTGCAGCTGGTGTTGGTGCTGCGGCCGTCCAGGTTCTTCCAGAGAGCGATAGCAGACATTGGGATGAAGCTGCACAAAGATGACTTTAAAATGAAGGTACCGGTAAGCATGCTTCAGTACCGACCGCATAAACTCTGTCAGCTGCAATCATGAGGAAACTATTATTTCTATTATTTCTGGAAACGTGATGTTTTTAACTAAATGCATGATGAATAAATGATGCAAGAAATACAATATGTTTATAGATGTTAACTCAACTGGATTAACCATTCTCATTAATAACATTCAGAAAATGCAGAACATGAGTGTAGCAGTGAAATTAAAGTTCAGATAACAGCCATACTTGTCTGTAGCTGCTGCTAGTATTTCTTTTCCAGGACTACACATTGCATAGCCGCAGTGTTTATAATTTTTTGACATCACGTCTTCATACTCAGCTTGAGACCAAAAAGGTCCACCTGGTGTGAATTGCAGGTCGAGTCCTTTCATCAGTTACATCTATAAATACTTCAATAGAAGCGAGATCCTGTCAATATACAGAAGTGTTGTAATAAATCCATTTCACCTGAGCGCATGATACAACTATGGTCTTCACAAAACAAAAAGACTCACCATCATTCAATAAGTCCAGGATATAGATCTGCCTTCACCTTGTCTCACTGAAGAGGATATTCATATATTAAAGGTTAATTGTGTTCAATATAAACAGGTACTCCAGTGACTTAGAATCCACTTTGGTAAAGATGGGGGACTCACAAGAGACAGATTTAAAAAGAACGATCAAAATGAATTGACTTTTAGTCCCTAGTATGAGACTCCAAAAACGCAGCATCCTACTCTTCCCATAATGCAACTCACTAGCGGCTATTGTTCAACTCTCCCTGCCTGAGTGTCTTTCAAATTCCATGCCTCCAGTTTGTATCTCAGGCTCTCTGTTTTTCATTTGTTGTGCGAGCTGAGATCACCCTGCTGACATCATCAAGGTTATTTTCTCTCTACAGCCACAGAAGACCTTCTAGAACTGTTTTCAGTTGGTCATGATCAGCAGCTTGAGGTGATGAATGTGTTTGCAGATTATGATGCTGAACTCTCTGTCGGACCTGCATGGCTACGTGGATAAAGGCCAGCTGACCCGGGAGCTAGGAGGAAACCTGGAGTACTGTCACAGTCAGTGGATACACCACCGAACTGTGAGTTAACGAACAGGAACTTGGCAAGTTTCCAAAAAGGAAGTTGCATTCTAGGACGCTGCAGGCTCACATGTGGATCCTTTTTTCTCGCCAGGCCATAGAGAACTTTGCCATGACGGTGAAAACCACAGCCCAGATGTTACAGATGTTCGGGACAGACCTGGCTGAGACGGAGCTGCCCAATGACGTCCAGTGCACCAAAGACCTGCTCACAGCACACACCGACAAACACAGCAACCTCAAGGTGATTTAGTACATTTAATACACCAACACATGCTATCAGGGACTCTACATGGACGCACAGCAAAAACACATTTAGAGCTGGTTGGGGTGAAAGGGATTTGTAACCGTGAAGCTCAAGCAGCCAACAATAAGTATAATAAAGCTGTGAATATGCCCCTGTATGGATTAGAAACAAGGCATATGCTGATAGGTTTCCTGGTAATGACTCAGATTAAACAATGCCAGCCTGCTTGAGAGGGGTTGAGAGTTACATTAGCGCCTGGTCGCTCCGGAGGATCGAGATTCATTTGCGAATCATCATGAAATTGTAGGTGACCTTGTGACTACTTGGGGCTCATGTATTGGCTGGTTGTGGCGAAGTTAGTTTGTGGCAAAATGGATAGGAAGAGGAAAGCTCTTCTGATGTTGCTTCTCATTTGGCAAAGTATGGTCATAAAACGTTTTTTAAAGAGGTAATAGCCTCCTAATATTTTGGACTCTCCATTCCCTCAAAGGTCAGCGTGGACGAGATGGTTTGCTTTTGGTCATGGCGCAAAATTGCCAGTCAATGTTTATCAAAGTTGAATTCTGTGCAAAAGCACGGTGCAAGTGTACCTCATCTCTGTGAGCTAATCCACAGGTAGCAGCAACTCCACTGACTTCGGTCTGAATTCCTGCTGATGCCACCTGGAGTTATGGCATTAGGACACTAAATGTCTTTCATGTGATACCACAATCCCCCCAAACAAGTCCAAAACCTTTTCTAACATAGTGGGACTGCACTGGGACAAGCTACACAATAAAAAGCTACAGAAGAACCCTTCCCCTCCAAAAAAAAGGAGTAGAGTCCATACAGTACAGCATCATAGCTTTGGGACACTCTGTATCAGCCACTCCAACATGTATCACAAGGGTCAGGTGACTGACGGGGTAGCTAAACTAGCACTAGTGCACAACTTTCAAATCGTGGTATGTGCAGTTTGTTCCAGTAATAGGTGTAACTGGGACCTTACACACCCATAACCATAACCATAACCTAATATATGCCCCAACATCAAACCAAGACTTTACCATAAAATGAAATGATTTACATCATGACATGCTTTTTATCCCCAAAAGAAGGGTAAATCTCCACAATGTGATGTGTTTGTGTCCACACAAGATGGGACAAATGCCAATGCTTCTTTGTCTCTAAACCAGGATGAACTGAAGCTAGCTTTGAAGCAGGGCACCACCTTGTTAGGTTGTATCAAGGAGCAGGCAGCCAAGTCGGAGAACCACAAACTTAACCCAGACGAGATGGAGAACCAAACCACGGTGGAGAGGTGACAAAGCTTTTCTTCTTAATTATATGATGCATCTCAGTCTAGATTATGGTAATGTGGTGCTACAGTAATTCTCAATGTGTTTGTAATGAAGTTCCTGTTGTGTGTTTCAGGCTCCTAGCCCAGCTGGATGAGACGGAGAACGCCTTTGAACAGTTCTGGTGTAAACATCATCTGAAACTGGAGCAGTGCCTGCAGCTACGCCACTTTGAACAGGACTTCAGAGAGGTATATCCGTAGATCTGTTTGTCTCTGTCTGCCTGGCTGCCTCTGGCCTGGAGTCTCCTCTTCAAACAGCTTCAGAGGACTTCAGCTGTAAAGTCATACTTTGAAAAACATGCTAAACCCTTGTGCCTCACTTTTAAACAGTCGCTCTGATGTCCGTGGAGGACAAAAATGTCTGTGTCAAAAAACTGGCATAAAATGATATATTAATATTATATTCTATGGAGCTAAATCCAGGTCAAAAGTTTTGATCATTTGAAAAAAAAATTTGAACCTGAAAGTTCAAGTTGTGGTCTTGAACATTGAAAAATAATAAAAATAAGTGAATGCAATTTTTTTTGGGTTGAATATAATTTTGATTCAGTTCTGGAATTTTTTTCAGCGAGGTCATTTTTTAACCAACATCAGTCCTAATCATAACTACCAATTTTCCATTAATTTCAGAATTTTAACCCTGTCAATGCTCATTTTTTAACATGATGCCACTTTCGTTATGAGAAAAAAGAATTATATTCTGTATACTAAATGACAGGAGGATTGTTTTTGATTTTCCCAGTCTGGGATATGTCAATGATTAGCACATTGAATTTGATGGATTCAATTTTATTTTGTACAGTGTCAGATAAAAACAACAACAACTCTGATTTGGAGGACAAAAATGTCTATATAATAATTTAATTTTTGCAACCGTCAAAAACCAAGATAGCGATGGTCTAAATACCAAACTCCAGGCCTTAAAACTATAGTTCGCAAAGCAATGGATGACGTCACTTGACTATGTCCACTTTGTCACAAATCCACAGGGTGTTTGCCCCATAGGACAAACATGGGAAAACGGCTCAATGGTGGAAAATAGTAAAAACTACAATTTTGAAGCAAGGGCTCTAGATTGAAAGCCTGATGGCAGTGTTATCAAAAATAGTGGTTATTATGTGTTTCAGTGAGACATTTTTGTTGTGAGTGTCTGTATTTTGGCTACACATTTGTTATAGGCTTATAGGAGCTGAGTTTGAACTTCCAAAATTTGAAAAAACAAAACTAAATGTATGCCATATGCATTGACACAGACAAAATGATGGTAAAACAAAAAAGCCAAATATGTCCCTTGTAATGCATTAGAGGTAAGAAAACTATTAGACACCTCATGTTCTAATAATCAGCTTATGTTACATTTCTAACATTGAATATGATCATTTGAAGTCGAATCTGAATACAAGAAAAAACTATAATATTACAGTGTGATTAAGTGGGTGACATGATAACTGTCCCTGACTCTGTTTCTGTTCCCTCTGTTGTTCTCCAGGTTAAAGTGTCTCTAGACAGTTTGATGGACATTCTAACCAGCCTATCAGATATCGGGGATTGTGTGGCCAGAGTCGAACACCTGCTACATGAACTGAAAACACTGGAGGACAAGGCTCTGGTTAGTTTCTCTCTCTCTGTCCCAACCCAAACCTGTCTGCTCACATCCATTCACACCTTTTTTTTTTCTCTCTCTCTCTCTCACTCTCACTCTCACTCTCACTCTCTCACTCTCTCACTCACTCACTCACACTCGCACACACTACTTTCTATTACCCTCAATCAGTTACTCGTTCCCATTTATACAATCAAGCTTAATGTTTATTGCCCTTCATTAATGAATTATTAACGTGTGAACTTTAAAGCATTAGTAAATTATTTCATAATTATTAATAAAGCCAGTAATTACAACTTCAAAAGCCTCTGTAAAGGGGGATTTGTTAGAAAGTGGTGCCCTAAATCAATTATTAACTTTTGTTAATATACTTATGCCAACATCTTTAATCTCCAACAAAGTATTTTAAGGAAGCATGCCTTTGGCAGTGATTGTTGCTTCTTTGTCCCTCCTCATCTTAGTTCACTGCCATGGCCCCAAATTTGGATTTTCTGGTTCCAGTAACAGCCAAGTGGTAGCAAGCAATAAATCCAACAGTGAGGTCCAATGACTTCTTTATCCTTGTGTCAATCCAAACTCACTCCAGACCGCACTGCCTTCATGACATTCCGTTATTATGAAACTCACATGGGGCGACTGGGCTCAGTGGTAGAGCAGGGTCATCCTTCAATCAGAGGATCCCGGCTCCCATGGGCTGTTCCTACCGTGTGTGAATGTTGTATGAATGTTAGTTAGTCCTGATGGGCAGGTGGCACCTTGCATGGTAGCCCTGTCATCAGTGTGTGAATGGCTGAATGATGACATGTAGTGTTAAAGAGCTTTGAGTGGTCAGAAGACTAGAAAAGAGAAATACAGTACAGCCCATTTACCATTTACATACTGTAGACTTAACAGGAACATCTTCTCATGGAAATCAAATAGAGAAGAAGCCAATACTCCATTACATAACAGCTGAGCACAAGCTGACAGCAGCTTCATAAAGGCTCTCTACCATTAACGAGAAAGCAATCCCAAATTTGTATTTTGTAAATCTTTGTAAATAACAGCAAAGTCTCAGCACCCCTCTCCGTGTTAAAAAGCCATGATATATTCTGAATTGTTGTCCTTCCAGCCCTCACTAGAAAAGGCCCAGCTCCACGCACTGCACGGTGACCAGCTGATCCAGAGCAACCACTACGCCGTGGACTCTATTCGACCCAAATGTGTGGAGCTCCGGCGGGTCTGTGATGACTTCAGCAACGAGTCCAAGAAAAAGACGGATGTCTTATCCAAATCCCTGCAGATTCACACGGGCATTGATAAGGTGAGGATGTGATATGACTTAAACACTTCTACGGATGACACGTCCTGAAATACAAGTTTTGGTGATTTACAAAGTTTTCATGTCTTATGTGCTGGACCGAAATGGTGACTGACCGGCCTTTACCATCACCGGAGCTGTGCTGCTAGTGTGGGTTTTTAATACGTCTTCAGGTGTCATTGATTGATTTCTTTGGCAACGTGGGGGCAGTGGAACAAGCAATGGCCTCACTAATATGTAGAAATGTGCGCATAAATTTGTCCACAAAATAAGTACACGCACAAAATGACCTTCTGATTCATGACATGTGTTCGTCGGACATTTTAGTTCTTACCACCGTGCGTATGTTAGTGAATCTGAATCATTCTAAATTGAAAGTTGCATGCCTGCTATTCACAATCAGCATACTGTCACACCCACATTTCTCTCTATAAGACTATACATTTGCATGAAGGTTTATCATGGAGAAAGCAGAGAAGTTGTTGTAGAAGTGAGACACATCGACCCTAAATAAAATAAAAAACATACTGTGTCCGAGGGAGAAAGCAGGAAAGGCAAACTTTTCCAAAGTGTTTCACAGGAATAACGATGATTAAAAACAAAAGAGGCTTGGGCTGCAACAGCCGAGGCAGTGCGGTGCCTCCTCTGAGATACACACTGCGGCTCACGTAAAAAAAGAAATGATTTGACCTTTAAATTTATGTGAAAAAAAGAATAACAGACCAGAATAAACAGAAGGAAACAGGTGGACCACCTGATCTGTCAGCCTTTTTAATTCTGTATTTCTGCACAGTGTCACATAAAGAGCAGGCTACACTAATACTGTCAGTATAATACAATTAGTAGAATTCGATGTTAGCGGTGGCTGCGTTGTTTCAGACTTACGTGATCCAAACATGTCTACATGTAAACTCTAGAGCAGGGGTGTCAAACTCATTTTCACTCTGGGCCACATCAGCATCATGGTTTCCCTCAAAGGGCCGGTTGTAACTGTAAGACTGTATGACTGTAACTACTCCTAACATATTGCTAAATAACTGTCTCTGCTTTTGATTATTGTTTATTCAAGTGTAAAATATTGTACATGCAGTTATATAAATGTAAAATGATATTTAAGCACATTTCTGTTATTATAACATAAATCATTTTAATTTAGGGTTAAGAAACCCACATTACTCTATCAAAGATCAAACTTTTAAAGAAAATAACAAAGACAAATATCATCAAACACAAGTTAAAGCTATTTGTGTCACCTCTCTGCATCACTAATGTCCCTGCCGTCGTCCCGTGCATGGCAGCTACATCCAAGAGCTCCTCACAGAGTCAGGTCTGCCTTGAGCCTCTTTCAAACACTGATAGATGATGTATCTCGTCTCTTAGCTAGCTGTGTTGTTAGATTGCTGCTAGTTCCTGAACTCGGTCTGCGATGGTGTTTCTTCACAAACTGACATTTGTAAAAGTCTGTATCTGGTCGGAGCTCACCTGCTCACATACCTTTAGCATGCACTGGGCTGTAGCTTTTGTAAATATATTCTGCTGTGATTGCAGTCTGCCTTTTAATTCTTGGACAATTTGATGTTTTTCTTGGAGGCTAAATTTAGCTCCGTGTTTGGTGTCAAAATGCCGACGTGAATTGTATCCTTCATCACCGACACGCATCATAACACAGAAGACAGACCCGTTTTTCTCCTTGAAGCACAGACATGTATTCTCTTTCCCATCTTAAATTACATCTTCTTCCCTCTGCATCAATTGTTCTCTTCGTGGACATTTTGGGATTATTTGTCGATCTTTTTCAACTCAATCACTTGTTGGAAAACCGCTTTACGGGCTGTTCCCTCTCCTGTCCACCTGTTTTTAAAAAAAAGGTAATAACTAATTAACCATATTGTTACCAAGTGACTGTTAGGAGGACAAGTAATCAATGTCCAGCCACGGTGATAACACTTCACAACATGCCATCTCATAATTTCAACTTTTTATCTCATAATTTCGACCATGGGGATATTTTTATTTTGAAGTCTAACTTTTAATTTGTTTTCCAAAATTAAAAAAAAAAAGAAAAACTTTTTTTTTTTTTTTCTTTTGCTGGTGGATTCGCGGGCCATATAAAATTACGTGGCGGGCCGGATTCGGCCCACGGGCCTTGAGTTTGACATGTGTGCTCTAGAGCATTGTAAAGTCCAAGAGTCAGCACTCCTGTATTAATGGGGCAGTCTAGCAGCAATCTAACAGCACGATGAATTACATTTGTACAGCCACAATAACATCAAATCACATTTTTCTTTTCTTTTATTAGATCATGACGACAATTGTTAAAAGCTTCATTCAAAAATCTCAAAAGAAGCTTGAAATGATACATTATATTTTGAATATGTCAATAATAGATGAGGATGAAGGAGCATCAATTTCATAGTTGTTTATGTTTTAAATATGGTTGTCTATTAAAGCCTTTTTTTAATGAATGCAGTTTTAATATGAAATGCATTTAGTTAAAAGGTGTGTGTTTACAGCTTGCTGAAACAAGGTTAATGAGAGGAGTGAGATGACTATAACAGAATGTGGGATGATGACAGAGCATGTGAGTTCTTCTCTGGTCTCCCAGCAGATGGAGAGCATTAGATCCAAACAGATATGCTGATCGATGTTTGCCTGTGTGAGAAACAGGTGGGGTGGCAAACACTGTCCTTATATATGTGCTACCCTGTTGCTGTGTTAAAACTAATAAGCCATTCAAACAATGTCAGGGAGCTTTAATATACTATTGCACACAACTTGCAGCAAGTTGCCCTGCAACACAAAACAGGATGACCATTTATTTACAGTATAAAACAAAAACCTGCATCAACACAAAGATCCTTTGACTGCAGCACTGATGCAATTCAGAGGAACTTCAAGAAATAGAACAGAGCCTGTTCTACTGCAGCAGAGATCTGCCATTAACCTGTCCATGAATGAACTCTCGGTGCTCAGCCACTCATACCCCTGACACTGTCTAATGAAAGGAGTTGTTGTTTTTGAATAGCTTCTTAAACTAAATGACATAAATATTAGTATGAGATCAAATGCCTATGCAATATGTGAAAGGGGTCGCTTGTAGTGACCAACCCACAGAGAACCATCACTCCCCCCTCTCAGCTCTTCAAAGCTTTACCTCCTCTCTTAGTTCACTGATTTGGTTTTCAGAACAATAAACACTGAAGAAACAAGACATATACAAGATACAAAGGCAGATTATTATCAACATTTCGAGTGCACTCACTTTCAGTTTGACCACCAAAATCAATTAGATAATCTGGATTAATGTTGGCTTGTTTATAACATGGTTGTTCATGTGATACCTATCTCAGCAGTCACTTTGGTGAGAACAGTTTCAACATGACTGATAGAAATGATGGCCAACAATACAAATATAAGACCCAAGTTGTAATGAGTCAAAAAAGAACTCCAAGGCTTGTTGCTTGAAATGTAATCTCTATAAACAGAATCTGTATATGAATACAGAATCTGTAGGCAACGGGACAAGTGTTCTGGCTTCTGTTTATAGTCCATTTGTAGTCCGAGTAGCATTGACTAATGACGCTCGAGGTGGCTTTGGTTGAACGCAGGTAAACAGTCCGTATGGAGAGCATTGTCCCAAATGCATTCTGGCAACCCATCAGCTATAGTCTGACTTTTATATTGGTTTGAAATTAGCTTGTAAACTGGCTACTTGTGAAACAATCTGCTCGAACACGTTGTCTTTCAACTCCAGCTCCAGTTGCTAATCGGACTGTAAACAATGAGCAAGGCATGAAAAAAGGTCCATCCTGATAGAGGATCCCACTGACTTGATTTGTGCACATAACTGAATGTGGACATAAGTGAATGACTCCTGTAAGTAATGTCCAGAAACTGAATGTCTTGTCTACTGTGAAACGGGGTGATGTGATGGAGGTGGTGAAGAGGACAGTATTCTCACCCTCTCCTGTTTACATTCCTATTTGTATTTTACCCTCAACTTTTAATTCCTCATATTCTGCATGTAGATGTCCCTCATGTAAATGCATCAAGAACAAGTGATGGCATGTCACTGAAGGTCCTGATTGTCCCCAGTGGCATCTAAACACAGGCTCCCCACTGTGGGCCACCACATAGGGAGGAGGGTTGGCGTTGGCTCCATTGAAATCTTGCCCTGTTTGGATTCCTGCTGTGTACAGGTGAACCAATGGTGTGAGTCTGGCATCTACCTGCTGGCCTCCCAGGCTGTGGATAAGTGTCAGTCACAGGAAGGGGCAGAGTCCGCACTGACTGACATCGAACGCTTCCTGGAGTCTGCAGAAAAGAACCAGCTGACTGAACTGAGGAACCTCCACATCCAGTATGAGGTTGTCCTGTCCGATGATATCAAGGTATGGTGCACCAAGACAACAGTTTGCAGTATGACTGGAAATCCTGTTGCATAAGTAATGATGGAGCAGGATTGATAGTGAGCTTTCTGCCTGCAGGCAAATGTCCTGAAGGCACTGAAGCGCCTGGAGGACGTCCAGGAGATGTTTCAGAAGCGGCACGTCAGTCTGAAGAGGCTATCAGCTAAACAGACGAGGCCCGTCCAGCCGGTTGCCCCGCGGCCCGAGTCCTCTCCTAAACGGCCCTCACTGAAGAACCCCCCCAGAACTACAGGGAACCAGCAGCGTGAGTTGGATGTTGCTATAATTAGCTAATTTGTGCAGTACAGGTGCAAACTGGTTGAGACCTTGAGCTGCAAATTTGTAAGCCTTTTTTTGCCATAATCTGAATTTATATAATGACTGCATGCATGTAAGGTGACCCAAGCTCTGGACAAAGACATAATTGAAGTAACTTGTGCTGTGTCCTCTCAAATCATTGTAGCTCTGGCTCGCAGAGTATCAGATCACTCTAACAGTGGCAGGCAGCCAGCCGAAGCTGATCCCAGCAAGAAGAGGATCATACGCAAGGCCAAAGGAGGCATCAAGGTACCCTCCTCTGTCTGCAACATAGAGTCCTTTCAACAAGTATCTTTACTGATTTGTAAAATTCTGTTGATCTCGAAGTAAGAGAGACAACTGACTATGACACCGAGCAGGGTATTGCCCCACAATTATTTATTCCAGTGCCAATCCTGATACTGACAATCCCAATACTTTGATTTCAACAGTACACTCTTTCAATTCAATTTATTTTGTATAGCCCAAAACCACAAATCATAAATTTGACTCATAGGGCTTTACAGTTTGTACACATGTGACATCCTCTGTCCCGGGACCCTCACACCGGAACAGGAAGTACTCCCCAAAAAACCCTTTAACGGGGAGAAAAGAGGAAGAGACCTGTGGGAGAGCAACAGAGGAGGATCCTCTAGCAGGGTGAACAGAAGTGTGATACGTTTTTACTGTTAGGGATAATACTACTACTCTCGTCATCACTGCTCATCAGTCCCTTGTGATAACTTTGGAAGACAAAGAAGAATCTGACCTGAATTTAGAGTCATGGGACAGAATACATTGCATGGCAGGTATCACTGGCTTGTTGAAAGTGTACAAGAATTGGCCGATCTTTCAGATGCGTGGCTGAATAGTTGTAACATTTGCTACAGTTTTGGTTTATTCACAACACTTTGCTGTTAGTAATAAGTGGTACTAAGTGGCAGTCACCACTAGTTAGTCATTAGTTAGTATATATACCGTATATATATCTAAACTAAGTGCATAACCAGTTGGCTGAACTTAATCTGGAGACAAGCTAATTCGCATTCAATTCAGGCGTAGTAAAAAATTAACAAATAGCCATTTATTTATGCCATTTTTTAACAAGAAGTTTACTGAAAGAAAGAGCAAAAATAAAATACAGGAATTTGAATCAAAAGAACAGCTTGCTATTCCCCCCGTCTTACTCCAATGAATGGCATTTCACCTTCTCAGCCTCACCTAATTGGAACCTACCACCTGACCAAGGAAGTCGAGGGTGCGGCAAACACAGCAGGCATCCAAATCATCCAAAACAATTCAATCACCTTTAGAACAAGGTTTCCAAGTGACTTCAGAAACCACAAGTCATCTATGGGAACTCATTACATACTAATGATCACACCTACTATATCAGAATGCCATTTCCTTTAGAACTACCTCACCTATCCCCCCCAGCCCATCCCTGCTTAGAGGACATTATTTTAGGCACACCTGTGTACAGCTCCATTAGTTCAGCTGTTGAGCAGCTGAACTACCTCAACATGAACAGGAAGAACAGCAAAAAACAATCCTGTTAGCCCATAGAATGAACAATTGAAACAAGCTTGTGTTGTTTTTACACCTTAATTGTTAATGTATCAAATAAACTGAAACCTTGGACAGAGATTAACAATCAAGCAGACACAAAAATCAGTTTTTTTTTACTGTATGTTCCGGGTTTCTGTTCTGTAACAAGCTGGTATAACTGAAGGAAGAACATTTCTGATGAGTGTGAGTCATTGTTTTATGTAGTGGTTTGGAATGCTCCTCACAGATTTAGCTGTATTACTGCTTCTGTTTTCTCCAAAAGCACAGATAAGGAGCAGACTAACAACAAAACATGTGAAAGCAGATTTGATCATACAATGCTCTACAGTCTCCCAACAGGACCACACTCCCCCAGCTATTATTGTTTCATTTATGAGGGTTTTCGGTCTGTGTTTCAGTTCTAAGTTAATATACAGTATTTACATACTGTAACCTCATCTCTATTATAATGCATATACATCATTCAGTAAATCATAATACCACCTACACACCCAAGTACCAACTACAAAGTAGCTTGTGATCTATGCACCCTGCAGTATCTTTCCTGTTGGGCCAGTTCAATATTCACCAATGATGGATGACCAAACACCTGGTGGAGACATGATATTTTCTAACTCTACAAGTTGACAGGGATTCCCTGAATGCACCATCTAACAGCTACGAAGAGGACATTTAGTTTACTGATGTTGCAGTGGTATCTACGTTTGCATTTTAGACATATTATACAAAGCCCCTGTCCTTATAACTCAACTTATACGTATGTGTTTGTGTGTCACAGATTGAGGTAATGCATGAGGAAAGCCAAGGAGGCTCCACCCATGTCGTTGTGACCAATGAGACAGAGGAGAGTCTGTCCAACAGACGCAGGTAAGGCCGGACAGTGTTCTGATGCAGTCCTTTCCTTCACTGTAACATCACTATACTGAATGACAACATGATTATGATTTTAAGTCTGTAATGTGAGGTCATATTGATTCCAGAGAACTGCAGTTACATGCTACAGCTGTGTGCATGGTTTGAAGTAAGGCCCCCCCTCTTAGTCGCTCATTTTGGTCTTAGCCGACGAAGATTTTTTTTCTGCTGAATGACTTATTTTCCAAAAGACTGATTAACACGAGATTTAAAGTGGTGATTCTTTGAGTGTTAGTCGACATAGAATGTCTTTGGTCGAGGTCAGCCCTAGTTCGCAGTACCTATTCTGTTGTATTGTGATTAACATCACTTACCACCTGCACTGATATGTGAAGAGCACAGTTTAGACACAGGTGGTGTAACAGTTATCACTGAGGTGATGTAGGACTCCAGTGTGTTCATTTCACAAGTAGATCTTCTGGACACGAGGCGTCTACTTCACTGTAAAGTCCGTGTCAAGCTTCCACATCTCACTTGTCATGCCAGCTGCTTCATATACAGTATAATGTGTTTTGATATCAAAATTCTTCAAAGATCTGTTACAAACGGTTTCTTCATGGCTTCTGCATCTTGTGAAAGACTTGAGTCTAGTCCAGTCACCCGGGAATGGGTCAAACAGATTTAGAAAAAAACAATGTATGATGGAACTGGGCTTCTTTTTACAGAAACAGAAATGATCGTTCTGATTTGACACTTAATACCAAACAGACTTTGTCACGGAGACGGCAGGCCAACACACAAACACAACCACATCTAGGAGTGTGGCTCGAAGCCCAGAGAGACAGAGAGAGCTGAGGAACCAACATACGTGGCCTGAGGTGGCATAATTATATATTTGCATACAGCCATGTCTGCTGACTCAGTGAGAAGCATCATCTTTTGGTCGGCTGCTCCAGTTTGAAAACAGAGACAGTTCAGTATAGAGGAAGTGGATAGAATAAATAACTTCACATGGTTCTGTGGATCCTCAGAGAACAACACAGCAACAGGACGTAACACTGACACAACACAGTTACAGATGAGGCAATTTGACTTCTTTATGGACATTTAATAACAATTACAATTAGAGGATCCATCACACAAGGCTACATGCATAGAAACTGAACTGTCCCCCATCTAAGAGTTCTGTTTAATATGTATGAGGAACATGAGAATGCCTTCAAAGGTCTGAGAGGGTCTGACACACCGTGTAAACTAAAATTGATTTGGAAAAACAACATTACTAACAGTGTTTTCAAAGGAAAAACTAAATGTACATAAAGTCAAAAGAAAAAGACTTACTCTGCTAATGTTATTTTCTGGGTAATAGTATCATGACATCAGTCTTAACAAGAACATTCTTCAGGGATATTTACTTTGGAATTGTGGCCCTGTTGAGGAGCTAAACAATATCGTTTTGTTTTGCACTGAGCCAAATGAATGAATGAATGACTGTGGGGTGAACTTACTCTCTGTGGCTGTAGCAGGTCTGTAATAAGCCCGTCCCATCGTTTCATCACTCCAATGTAAAGATTGGAGTTTAAAAGTCCATCTTCTCAGAAAACTTTCTTTTGCGAAATACTGTCTTCCTGCAATGTACACGTCAAACATTTGTTGCAAATCAGATGACCTGCTAACGTGTTGGATTGGTCACATGGGTTGTTCTGTAAGACAATGACAAAGGACCTATTTTGTTGTTAAGGTATTAGAATTAGTTGACGGGTTCACATGTGAAAAGGTTTGGGAGACCATCTAGGTTTGGGAGACCAAACCAAGTAAAAACAACAAACTAACCAACAATCAAGTATATGACATCACTTGTTGAATACAGGACCTAATGCTTTCCGTCTGTGGACCCACATATGTGCTCCCCCAGCAGTAAAACAGTTCCTTATAAGGTCATGATACCAGACGACCTGCACACTCATTGGGATTTAGCTTGTCTGATTTTTTTTTTAGTAAAAACCACAGCGTAACAGGATGCAGTAGAGCGGCAGTAGTGAGAGAAAAGAAGAGATTGTCAGGAAATAGGGGGGCGGAGTGTGGTTAAGAAGAGGAAGCAGGGTAGAGGGTGGGAGGAGAGGAACTCTCAAATGAGTCTTAGCAGGATGAACTCTCCCTTAACATAGTAAGGCATACTTGAGGCATGGCAGAGTATGAAGAGACACCGTACAAACTCATCTCAGCTAGACTTTCATATGTACAAAGTTAAGACAGGATTTGAGTTAATAGAAGAGCAATGCATCTTATGGCCAAATCATCTAGATTTGATATTTCCTATGCATATTTCATTTTATGTTGTTTGTAATTTTGTAAAATTTTAATATTATATAGGTGGAGGCTTCAAATAAGCCCAGTTGGCTTTTTGCCTCTTCATGCACTGTGATATTCATTTATCTCTGTTATCTGTTTATTTTTAATTTCATTGTTTGAATTGTGCAAAATAAATAAATAAACTAAACTAAAATTTGCTAATGTGCTGATATGTGTTAATGAAAGGAGCTTTAACACATTTTTATAATAATTTATCAAAAGACAACTTACAATGTGACGATGTGAAAGGTTGCTCGTAGTGCTGAACTTCCACCTGAATCTGCAGCTGGTCTTTGTGGAGCTTCATCGTGGGTTTGGGCTGATTGTTTAGCTGTTTTGGTTCACCCTCGTGGCCATGTTGTCATCTGCAGCACGCAGCTATTTTCAGTGAAAAAGCTTAAATAACCAACCGTACACTATCGGCTCAGCAGGCAGGAATATCATTTATCATATATCGTACATCAAGTTCAAGATGAACATCTTGAATTATAATTTACTCCAAAGCGGTGTCTTGCCAACCTTGAAACAAAGCAATGTCTACTTGAGACCCGTTGTCTCAGCTGCTGTAGGTTGTTTTGTATAGAATGAATATCTTACACCCATGTTGTCATCTTTTTTCTATTACAATTCATCCTTCCCGACCCCGTGCTGGGAACTATTGCTCTAAAACTTAAACTATAAGGGTGCAAATGTCACAAGTCGCCTTACAGCAATACAAAGAGGTACAGTGCAAGTACATTAGGCTAATTAACCATATTTCTACCATGTGTTGTGTCTGTACTGTAGGGCAATTCACTCATCCGGCATCATTTAGCTCAGAGTCTGGCCAGATGTAGCCATCTTCCTACTGGCTGGCTGGTGTCTCAATAGGAAACATCTGATGCACTTCGTCAGCCTGAGCGGAGTGAGTCAGTCACAGCAGAGCTACCGAGTACAAAGTTCAAGGGTCCAAGAATAGACCGGCTAATCTACCAGTTTCTGACCACAAGACAATGCTAATAGATGATGCAGCACATTTCATACTGAATACATCTGTTCCTCAGACAGAGTGATGCGTTACATGATGTATTCTTTAGCCACATTTATTTCTACATGGTTTGCATCATGGTTGCTGCACCCTTTTTTGCTCCAGCCCGGTATAGCAGGAATTACATTCACAGTGGACGATTCTTCAGTATTTGTGTCCAGTGCCAACTATTGATGTTCTTAGCAATATGGTCGTTTTGTTTTTGAGGAAAAACTGAAAACAGGGCTGCATCTAATATAATAATTGTTTATTATGACGATTATTTTCTCCATTAATCTTTTGGTCTGTAAAATGTCAAAGTAATACAAAAAAACATTGTAGTTTCTCAAAGTCCAACGTAACATCTTCAAATGTCTTGTTTTGTCCAAAAGAAAAAAAGTATTCACTTTAAATGTAAACATGAAAATCAGAAAATTACCACGTTACTAAACTTGAACCTTTTTGGATTATATGGCTCTTCAAAGCTTCAGATTTGATATTGGGACATGTATGCAGAACATTCATCTTTGTCAACTGCCTCAGAGCCAGCAGCATTCATCATATTTAACAGCTAGTTTAGACGTTACGTTAGACTCTCCAGACAGGGCTCACGCCTTTCAGAAGCTGCCAAGTGAGTAACAGTGTGGAGATCTATGAACGTGTGCACACAGAGACAAAAAGCCCTCATGTAAACAGAACCAGGACAGGTTCCACCAAACTGTTCTCTCTAGCTTAAACAAAGTGAAAATCTGGCAGATGACTGAAGAAGAACTGAGTGCATTTGTTTGTGCAACAGAACAACTTTCATTTTAATTTACAAGAGAGCAAATACCTAAAATAGCTAGAAAAACAGGGCAGACTGTTTGTGTCAGGTGGCATCATTTGTTATCGTGGTACATTCAGTATCCAGCAGTACTTTCGTCACCTGAAGACCATTCATGTGAAAGCAGCCATACAGGAGTAGGTGTTCTGGTAATATGGTAGACACAGCAGCGCCACTTTCACTGTTGTGCAGTACAAATTACTGAAAAATCCTCCGGAGTTGGTGTACACTGTTGGGTCTGTTGCTGCCTGCCATAGTGAGTGCACATCCGTTGTGTGTCCGTGAGATGTGATCATGTGATAATAGATGCAGGGGTGGTACGGAGTCTTGCCCTCCCCTGAAAAGTACATGTGCTCCTGGGGAGAGACCCCCATGGCCTTGGCACAAATCCCCATGAAGACGTCGTCGATGTACATGGAGGAGTTAAGCAACAGAGTTGCATGGTAGATCTTGGCAGCTACATCCCCTGAAACCACGTAGCCCGCTCCAGCAGTGTAGTCTGGGTAGGAGGGCCAGGGGTACAGATCATGGGGAACGTGGTATTTGCTGTCTTTGCGGCGAACTGGAGGGGCTCCTCTGTGTACATGTCCCACCCACAGGTCTTTGGCCCCTGACTGTCTGAGCAGGTACTTCACCAAATTTGGCATGTGGACGAAGATGTCGTCATCCGCAGACATGAGGAAGCGTGCCTGACGGCAGTACTCGTGGCCCCAGTGGAACTGAAGGATCAGTTTGGAAGTCAGGTTGTGAAAGGTGTCCAAAAAGTTCTGCTGGATCAGGTCGCCGCAGGCCTGGTCCTCCTGCAGCAGCGCACTCTGCACCCTGGACCTCTGCCCGACGTCCGGGTGCACGCCGAGGACGAACACCAGCCTCACGCTCGCTCCCAGTTCTGACCAAACAAAGTTCTCATTCCCCCACGTGTCCCTGATGGCCTGGCGACGCTCAAAGTTCTCCGGCGAGGATTTCACAAACAGCAGCAGGAGGACATCATCCAGGCTTTTCCCGTGTCCGCCACCACCTCCACATTTGCCCGGGTGGTTGATGAGGTATGGATAGTTCCCGAACCTACCGTCCGCATCATAATGACCATCCTTCCTGTTGTGATGGCTGGAGCTGAGGGCATAGGAGGAATTAAGAAAGTCGTAGCTGTTGACCAGGTAGCGGTACGTGTAGGATCTCATGTGGCTGACCATGTGGTGGTCCAGCTCATCCCAGCAGACCATCACCACACATAGCAACAGACCTGTGGTCAGCAGCTGCATGCACTGGCACTTGCGGATACGACGGAAGTTCATGAACATGGTGACTACTGCTTATTGCTCCAAACACTGACAGCACGTATCTTCTGTCTTACCCGTCTCTCGCAGTATGTATGCTATTTCATCTCTGCCTCCTATTGCTCTTAAGCTTGATTTCACTTCATCTATCTAACCTTCTTCCTTATTATATTTTTTTTTTATTGTCTCGCCTCATACGAGTCCTCTTTCCCTGCTCCTGTCCTATCGACTGGCTTCTCTTCCTTTTGATGTTGTCAACTCCAGTAGGCCTTTGTCAGGCTCATTGGCAGTCGTACTTGTTCTGTTAATGGTCTTTGGTCCTTCATAGTGATCGGGCCACAGGAAGCTGGGTGTCCCTCATTCAGCTCAAACTATTTAAGATGCTCCTGCGTACTTCTCTCCTGAGAACTCCACTTCCTTTCCCTCCTCCTCTTGGTTACTGTCGCATCATTGGAACACATGGCACCTGAACAAGAGAGAGACAAGTAAGATCAGATTCCATATAGAGCAGATGTTGCATGATTGGGCTACACTTTATAGCTAGAATACCTATAAAGATGAGTTCATTCATTCATCAAATTTATCACCAACTATTTTGATAAGCGATTCCTTGTTTACGTCGTTCATCACACGCAAATTCCAGACACCGTCTGGTCCCAGCCTCTCATTTCCTCTGGTTTTGTATCATTGTACATTTGTTTTTTGGCCTGTTTGAGACAAAACATGATATCTGAAGCCGATATCACGTTGTGATCTTGGAAAATGCTCGGGGAATATTTCCTCACATTTTATAGACTAAACAATCTATTCAGTTCATTATTGAAAAAAAGATTTATCAAATGAGAATAATCTGTTGGTGAAAATGTAAATGTATGCACTATGGTTAAGAATGCACACACAACACCATTTTGTGATGGATCCCACCAGCCGCGGCTTTGGAGCACTGACCAGGCTGCATTATTTGATGCATTGGAGTGAGAATATGTTGATAAAGTCAAATCAGACCAGGGGCTTGTCATGCTGGCATGTAATGTTGTTCCAGGTATACCTAAAATAATCAGTTGGTTGACAGAAAATGAATGTGCATTTTGATTATCGAATAATTGTTTAAATAATTTATCAAACAAAAATGTCCAAATTCCTGCCTCCAGCTGTGTCACACTGTAGGATTTGTTTTGTTGGTTAGACAAAACAAGACATTTGAAGGCATCCCCTTGCATTCAGGAAGATTTTTATGCCATTTTAATTGATTCAGTTTAAAAATAATCATTATTAAGAGCACAATATTGAACAGCTAAACCTCTCTCTCTCTCTCTCTCTCTCTCTCTCTCTATATATATATATATATATATATATATATATATAAAAAAATTTCAAAATGAATGTATACATTTAGAATAATTTAAAAAACGATTTATAATGCCAAATTTTGGTATTCCCTTTCAAAGCCTTACTAATGTGGCACACAATAATGTAAAGTTTTGAGTTCAAATATATTAATTTATAGGCTTTTCCAAGCAAATATTATTGTATGTGTTTGCAATTAAATCAGCCCAAGAATATTCTTCCAGATCCGTTCCAGGCTCCTCCTAACCCTGTGTTTGTGAGCCTGCGGGCAGCAACAGTTAAAAACACGTTTTAAAAGCCCAACAGAGCATAGTATAAGAGAGTCCGCTGGGCCACATCATGCGCAGCCCCGACCTCATTTCAAAAGCTACTTTAGTCTCCCGGATCTACCAGCTGACGATCACCACCGGGACAAAACGCGGCCGGCACGAAAACTGAAGTTTCCCAGTAATGAGTTACTCACCGGAGATATGCCGAACCTGACCGACGGGGCTTACGACATGGAGAGTAAACTGTGGAGCACTAGACTTGATTGCTGCGAGTAGGGGCCGTTTCACCATACCATCACCTGGTTGCTGACGGTGCATGCGTCACCACGTGGTATTTGCGCACAGCTGCGTCATGTGGAAATTGAAGTTTGTCTACGTCATCAACATAGCATGTTCCTAAAATATGTATGTGACGATTTAATGATATCTCTAATTATATTACAATGACATCTGTATAGGGACTTACATGTGCTGTTTTTATTGTGTTTAAAATCTCTATAATCATAAAATTTGCCTCTAATTCAGAACCTTCACAGCCAATAAAACCTATATATTCTTAGGACCACATGGGACAAGAGTTTGGACAGATTTCCTGCCTCGCAGTGACGTTGCTTAGTCTAGAAAAGGTGCTGAATTAGTGAAGCAGAGTTGTCCCAAGGCTATGATGATGATGATGTTCCATCACTAACAGTGAGTGTTCACATTTTCATCTTTACCTAATGAAGGCCATTTTGGTTTATATCAGTCATGCTTAAATATGGAATAAAAGACAAATGGTTTCAGTTGTTAAGTGTGTCACATATCAATAATTCTCCACTCGACTTGTTCTTTTAATAATTAAATTCTATTTGATAGACGTGTGTACAGAATGAACAACATAATACAACTAGAAAATTCCGCAATAAATTTTGACAGTGTGGCTGCTACTGCCCGAAGACGTCGCAATATATATACACGCCAATGTTACCGGTAGTCACTAAGCATGTATTTACAAGGTACACCACATGCTCTGTGTTTCACTGTGAGAGACATGTAGAGAATACAATGGTTGTATTGCCTTGTTTAATTACCATTGCAACAGGAAATAAATCAATGAATGACTGAAAGAATGGTTTTTAAAATGTATTATCAATGTATCATGCATAACTACACCCAACCCACTTACAAGTAACCACTTGGGCTTACAAGTAACCACAAATTCATACAAGGCAGGACCAGAGTGAAGTGTACACATTTTAATAGAAAAAAATACAAAAACAACTAAGCTAATTCTGAGCTTCATGTTAAGATACGGTTCCTCCAAGGGGCTTTTATTTTGAAAGGGTGGGACTGGGTGGGCGAGAGAGGGGGAGAGGAGTCATATTCATAATGTTTGACACACATACACAGAGGTTATTAAATGACAGGCATGTGTGTGAGAGAGAGAGAGAGATTGCGGAGAAAGAGAGAGAGAGAGACAGACAGACAGAGAGACAGACAGACAGACAGAGAGACAGACAGGAGGTCTAACAATGCCTTTGACTGAATATCTCCAAGTCGTGTGCGTGTGTGTGTGTGTGTAGAGAGGGCCTGTGTGCTTGTGTGTAACTGGTTGCCATGGTGAGGACGCACCTGGTGTTAGAGGCAGACTGATTAAGAAACGTTACAGTAAACAGTGATTTTTAACAAAACTCCTGCCTCCTTTTAACAAAAAGCAGGAGTCTGAGTGCCAAAATATGGGTACCATGAGAAAGATAAGACTCTGTCGAACGCGTCGATGTGATTTTTATGTTTTTGGTGTTAAAAAATGTGAGCTCCAGAGCAATATACAAAACTGGTACCATCTGCTTTCTTTGAGAAATGAGTGGTCAGATTTAACATGGAGTCTAATGGAGCAGTTGGTTGGAGTTCATGTCGCTCTGCGGCTCTTTGAGCCAAATGTGTAAGTCCGTTGGATTCCATAGACATCTGTGTGCGACAGCACAACATTTCCAAACTTTTTGGCCAAAAATGGTGTACAAAGAGTAAAAATTATGGGAGTCGGCGCAATCTTCCTGCTCTGCTCCACTCTGACAGTTATGCCCTCACTCTAGCGCTGAATATTCCGTGCAATACACACCCATTATAAAATCTGAAACGGACCCAACATTTTTCTGAAACTTAATCTGTGACTTAATGAAAACTATGCTAGCTATCAAAATGTCCATTTGGCTCAATAAAGTGCAGCGTTTTGTCTACGTTTTAAACTTTGAATCATTTTTCTATGTTAAAGTATGGCTAGTCAATATGGGCCCAAAGTTTAGTGTTTTTTTAGCTCTCTTCACGCCGAAACCCCATTCAAGTGGATGGAGAAATGTTGCTCAGATTTTCGGGATTTTCGGGAAAACCGCTGGGCGAATCTCTGAGAAATGTCATTGCACACGATTCCCGATCAGGCCGCACGTTTTGATGTATTTTTTGCGCAGGTGTTGGCAACGCTGTGTGAGGAGAAGCGCATCAAACTTTCGCCTGGAAGAATATTATTAAGCCTGATGGATTATATACAGTGTGCTTTGGCACAGGCATTTTTACTGCCTTTGTGCTACAAAGCCACACTGAATAATAAAGCTCCAGTAACAATAGTTCTGAAGTATTTGAGAGGAAATATTGTGATGAGTTTAGTGTACTTTTTATTTATCATTCCTATTGGCACCACTTTAATATTCATAATTGGTTTATAGGAATTGAATTTGGACTTGTAATGTGTCTTTGACTGCCTACTAGGTTATGTCTTCCTTCTAACTTAATCACAATCTCTAGGGCTTTTTATTATGATATTCCAACTGTACACCATTACAAAAGAGCTGTGGCACACAAGTGTGAGTTTAAAGCAAGCTTATTTTACTTTAATATATCTCTGACATGGAATATTTCATATTTTGTATCACTATAATATCTCTGTATGCATATATAGGAGGACTTATAAGATGACAGTTCATTTAGTCTGGTTCCACTCTACTCTGTCACCTCTCAGGTGCACATACAGACTTCTTTAGGGGAGAACGTTGACCATTTGTGCAGATGAACATATCAGATGTTGTGATCCCTTTCCTGGATACAAACTAAACTAACTATAAACTTCCATGTTAAGGGGTCAAACTCAGTGCAGAGGACTCTTCTACCACTTACATTGCTGACCACAGCAAACTGTTTTATCAGCTGTGTCACTTGCACATGACCGTTCACAAAGTGCCAGCACAGGGCATCCTGTTTTGCTCTCTTGTCCGAGGCATGTGCTGTGAGTCTCTGTGGATGTGGGTTGACATGTCCCCCCCCCCCCCGGTGTCTTCCCCATTTCCTTTGTAATCTGTGAGTTTAACGTGCCTTCTTCCTACCATTGTTGGACAGATTATTACTAACAGAGCATATAGGAACATAGTGAAGAGCCAACCTGAACTCCTTCTCAGTCCCATCCAGTACTGAAGTCAGTTCCAAATATTAACAAGATATATGTATGAGAGGTGTCCTTTTAAAAAGTGTTTCAACAATTTTACGATAATTTCTGTTATTTTATTTATTGGTAGAACTGCCTGATATTGATTCTGTGATCACGTGAGAACTAAAATAAAGTTTTGAACGACACGTTCTCACTCCAAACTCATCGAATACAAACACTTGGTCAGTGGCTCTACGCTTCAAACTGACACGTTAGGTTCCCCTCTAGCATCAGTAATGGAAGTTATGGTGTGTCAGTTTTCTCTCATTACAAGCAGAGTGTCTTCATAAATTTCCAACGTAGGTTTTACTTAGTCTTTGGGTTTAGTTATACAACAAAACTACCTGTTTAGGGTTTGGAAAAGATTGTGGTTGCTGCATCATTATACACTTTTTTTCCGCAGAAACAAAATCAATCTGTAATTAAAGCTGCGAGCAGCATTGATCGGGCCCTCGCAACTTCACGTACGTCGAGGGTACTAGCGGGACTCTGGCCATGCATTTCTGTGACCTTCATACACTGCGTGCACGAGTTAAACGGTATTTCCTGGTACTGGCAGGACTCTGGGTGACGTGGCCATGAATTTCTGTGACCATCACACTCTGCGTGCACGAGTGAGATATTTCCTGCGTCGACCAGCAGCGTAGCAAGATCATGTTGCCAGGTCTTACGCCTCAAATGTTTTGAGTGTACATCCGATACAATCATAAATGTAAGCCTTTAAAGATCATTAAGAAAATGAATGTGTGTGAATGTGCTTCAGTGTTTGTAACATAACAGACTGTCAGTTTACTGGGATGGGGTTCAACTCCCTGCAGTGTCCTGCTGATTGTATTTGGACTTACATGAAAGTTAACAAAACAGTAGTGCCATTTGCTGTTACTTGAACACTTTAATTTAACACTGTTTTCATTTTAAGTTCTTCTGTGACTTTAGATTGTAGTGTGAAGCATTCATTGTAACGTTTAACCTGATTGTCATGAAGAAGCTCTGGACAGATCATTTATACTAATGCCCACTGACATGGTTTGAAAATCCACTGTTATCTAACTTTTGCTCTCCAAGCATCTTAGTTTGCACATATTTAGATCAGAGAAGTCTTTTTCTCATGGTGTGCCCACAAACCCTTTCAATAAGTTCAGTGTTTGGGGCGCTGTAATTATAGAATCCAACAGCTTTTCACCAAACAACAAGCTTTGAGTACCTTTTCATGACAAAGGTCTTTAGACTGTACCGACCAAATTTGAAGTTGATCTGATTAATTCCCTAGGAGGAGTTCGTTGAAGTCCAGCGCCTGGAAATGACAAAAACGACACTAGAAATTCATAAATAATTCAAAATGGCTGACTTCCGGTTGGGTTTAGAGCATGGCCCCAAGAGACTTTTATTTAAGTCAATATGTGATACATGTTCGTACCAAATTTCATACATCTAGGTCAAACATACTGCGAGGGCTGCTTGGTCGAAATTTTGTAGGGGGCGCTATTGAGCCGATTTGCCACTCTGAACCAATAAAATCATATTTTATAACTACATTTCGGGCTTGTAATCTGCTTGCCAAGTTTGCTTATGTTTCGAGCATTTTTTGCCTCTCAAAATGACCTTCGTTGTTAACGGCGAAGACTGCATCGCCACGGCAACGGCGTTCGACGAAACATCAAAAGCTTCATGAACTGGTATTATGAACTTCTTACATTTGTGTGGAAGTAATTTGATGTTGATTTGATTTACCTACTAAGAGAAACAAGCCAAAGTATAATGACTTTAACTTCCTGTTACCAGTAGGTGGCGCTATGACTATGATTCAAAATTGGCCTGCAGATGTCTTCAGGCCGGGAGTCTAATCAAACATGTGCAATCTGGTAAAGATCTGATGATGTGGAGTCGAGTTACATCAGTTTATTCGTTCATGGCGAAGGATCGAAATTCGCCGAGCCGCCACGTCGCCGCCCTTGAACAACTTCTTACAATTTTCACAATGAGGCATTATCAAGGTCTTCAGGCTGTTCTGACACTTACATTTTAGAGGGATCTGATTAATCTGTGAGGAGCAGGATGTCAAAGTACACAACATACAACTTCCAGTTGCCACTAGGTGGCGCTATTACTATGATTCTAAATTATCATATAGATGTGTTCCGGGTCAGGATGTTATGACATATGAGAGATTTGGAGCAGATTCGACAATGTACGGCCGAGTTACAACAACTTCCTGTTTCATGGCGAATGGTGTTTTTTTGACGCCACGCCACGGACACATAGTTCGATAACTTTTTGATCTTTGAGTAACTTTTCACTGCCAAGGTCTCAAGAGCATACTGACCAAATCTGAAGTGAATCGGGTCAAATCTCTGGGAGGAGTTCGTTAAAGTATGACGCCTTGAAACGGTCCAAAAACGTCATAGAATTAAAAATGGCCGACTTCCTGTTTGGTTTAGAGAAAAATTCCAAGAGGATTTTTTGTGCGTCTCATCACGATCCACATTCCTACCAAATTTCATACAGCTAGGTGAAACCCGATGTTGGGGCTACTCAATAGGGGACGCTATCGAGCCAATATTTCATACCGCAGCTGGACACCCCAATCAGACTGCAATTTTCGCAAATTCTGGCTTGCGTGCCAAATTTCAAAAAATTTCCAGTATCCCAAGCACCTCCTTTTTGCGACGAAACAGGTACGATAATAATCGAAAAACAATAGGTCCTCCGCTCCGACTACGTCGGTGCTCGGGCCCAAATTATGTTTGATACAAATTTATATCTTTGTATCGATTTGGCCCCTCTAACACAAAATTCACCTTTGTATATTGTAAACAGCCCCAAACAGCCTGTC